ATGCGCCTAACGTTTGAAGCCAAAATAAAATTGAAGTGGTATCATCCCAAAAAGGCGCACGACTTCACATCTTTCAGCCAAAAAAATTTTGAGCTGCTGCCACAAGTGTATTTCGCTTCTATGTTACAACTCTCAAAACTACAACGATAACTTTAGCCTTTCGCAGGCATTATTTTTAGTATTGACTGTTGGCCTAAACCGGAAGTGACGCAATTTTCGTAACTTTGGCATATTTGTTATACCATATTTTGCCGTGGAAAAAACCGAAGTGTAAATGATAGCCTGCCAGGAAAATCGGACTGGAAGTTACAGCGGTCTATTGCATTTTCCTGGGACGACATCTAATTTTTTGCTACCTGTAAAACCAAGTTTCTGCGAATTATTAAAGGACATCTTTTACAGCTTGTTTGCCATATAATATAGCCTCGCGGGCGTCGCACTATCTCTCTTTCTCTCTTGGTGTCCACTCATCCGCAGTAGTGCTGCGCGACAGAAATCTCGGTCCAGGCTAATATGAAGCTCAATGATCGTCAATACTAAAATTGGTGACGACGATCTGCAGTGCGGCCAGTGCGCGCGCACGGCACTGCCGCTTTGTCGTGGGGGTAATCCTGCTTCTAGTGGTTTAGGCACCCGTGCGGTAGTGATGATAGTCCCTGCAAGCAAAAAAGCCGCAAAAAGAAAAAGAAAGACCACAAAAACCCACCCTCTCCATGTAATTTGGGCTAATCACTGGCAGTGCCCTGCGGCCGCACTGGTCGCACTGCAGACTGTCGTCACGTTAAAGTCGATGATATGTTTGTCCGTGTTTGCGACTAGACTGTGTGTTTTTGATATGCGCATGTTTTGAATAGAAAACCGCATTTCCGACTCAGTCCAAAGCAAACCTTGCACACACATTTTGGGGGAGGATGGAGAAAGACGGGAAGATGGGTGTATGTCGTGAGCTACTTTTTGTGGTGAATATCAATTTATTAATTTAACAGCAAACTTCGACCTGCCGAGAGTTGGCAGAGGGGAGTGAGTATAGTTCGAAATCATGCATGTTTACGATCATGGTCGCTTTTAACGCTTTCATCGATCTCTGAGCTGCGTAAAGGGATTTAGTATAGAACATGCTAATTACAAAGACAACCTTTACTCGAGATGCATTTATCAATTTCTGCTAATTTAAGTAGGGTGCAGGAGTCGGGAAGGAGCAGTCGATTGAAAAAGCGGCGATGAACGAAAACTATTTATAGGGGTAGCGCACAGTGAGATGCTCTGTGTTTGGGGAGGGTTGACCGAACGGAGGCCCCGTAAACATGTACACAAACATGCACTGTACTTGATGTTGATACCTCCCTTCCCACAAAGTCTTCTGCCGAATACGTCTATTCTGTAAAGCTGGCTTGAGCCCAGTATAGTACAGCGCGCGTCAAAAATCGCTCTTGATTGGCGTCGAGATTTTGGCCGCTATTTGGTGAACACAAAAGCAGACGATTTGAAAATAGGGCGCTTTGGAAAAAAAAGGAGTTTCGCCCCTCTTTTCCGCCCCTCGTTTTTTATGACAGGTCAAAAACGGACTTTCGGAATGTCTAATACAGAGAAATTTTAACATTATTTATCTATATTGAAGTTTTCAAACATTGTCTATAACTTCCGGTCATGTCTTATGTTCCAGCCTAAGAGAGTGAGATCAATTACTATGGACCCTGCCAACCTTTATGTTCCCGTATTGGCTGATCATGCATTGAGCTCGATCCTCAAACTTTTTCTTTACGTCCGCGTCCCACCACTCGCGTAGATTACCAACAGCGTCAAGCTGACTTCCTAAAATGCTAAGGGAATCAGAAGTTCTAAAGGTGCAGTGCTGGGTGAAATAAAAACTTCCGATTTTTGTTTGAAATAAGACAAGACGTACCTTGATTATCGAAACCATGCGTAATTTCATGCCCAAGAACTGTTCCCAGTCCTCCGTAATTTAAAGATCTGCAAAGGAAAAACCCAACATATGTCTTCAAACATTGATCTTTTTAAATTGTACTCTAATAATTTAAACCAGTGAATTAGTTGATCAGTGTAATGAATGTTCTGAGCAGCCGATGTATCCCTCAATTTCCTCAAAAAGGCATTGTACACATAACAAACGAGTCTTCCTTCCTATTTCAATTTTATAGAATCCTTGTAGAATTTTTTCGTAGACAAGACAGCTAAAAGCAACCTAGGAAAGGTCTGATGAAAATGCGGAGCTTGGAGATAGGCAGCAGGAACGCCTGAAAATACTGTTAAGAGAAGAAGAAAACGAAAAAGAGCTGTGATCTTACTAATAGCGTTAGTTGGCCACGTATAATAAGCGTTCACTACGGCAGAGCTGAAATCAGTACCATCGAATGTGCGAAACTCGGAACGGTCTACAGGTCTTGTCAGTCTTTTGAAATAAGAATCAATTCTCCATCGTTCCACTTTTTCAAGCATCTCACTGTATGAATCATTCTCGTACACTTCCAGCTAAAATAATGTACGCTTCTGAGGTTGACAGCAATAAAAAAGCGTTTTTACACCGTCGTAGTACTGGTCAAGCATTTCGTCATCCAAAATAAAATCAGGATAGGCAATCAGGGGCAGCATCTGGTTTGCCTTTTCCAAAGCTGCCTGCAGTGATACCTTTAGCTCCTTATCGTTCAGTATGTAAACTAACAGCTCTAGTTTGATCATCCATCCAATCACTAGTGCTAAGCATGTCTCGGAATATGCCAAGCAAGTCATCGAGCAATTCCAAAGTAACATTCTTCGAAGCCTAGATAGCACGAGTGAAATTAGAAAATAAAAAAACGAATCACCATGTGGTAACCTGGTCAAATGCATTTTTTACATAAATCGCACTAGTGGCGTATTCCATCTGTTTCATAGTGTGTTGAGTGCAATATTTCCATCGTGGTAATTTCTGCTGTTGTCCAAACACAACCTTATCGAGTTCCTGAAAACTTGAAACATTTTCTGATCAAAATTACTTCCGACCTGGCTTGTGGCGAGATTGAAATAATCAGATTCAAACCTTTTAACAGCATATTCTTCGCACCTGTTTGATGTCTTCATATTTTTCTCCCATTTCTCCTTCCCATTTTGAAGAAAATCGCATGAAAACATAGTTTGTTACTATGCGAGGGTCCGTTGATTGCAAAAGTTTGCTTATCCTGAATTTATGTGCTTCACTGATTGCTAAAGAAGCAGGGCGAGCATGTTCTATGAAAGGAGTTCTACCTCCTCAAATAGTCAACTTCTGCAATGAGAATTTCTGGATCTGATCTGAGGTATTCATGAGAAGCAGGCGGAGCAAAGGCGAGGAAAAAACGTGACCAGTCGATCTGAAGGATGACTTTGTGAAGTGATTAACCTGTAACTATCTTGTCAGTGCTCTGGCATGTTGATGCACCCACCAAAGGCATAAGTTTGTACATGTCACTCAAGTGACGAAGGTTATGTATTTTGGTATAGTTCCTCCGATCCTCTTCTTTAACCATGAGCCCTAACAATTGCATTTCAAAATCTATTAACTCGTCGACGTCCTCTTCGATTTTCGTTTTGTTGGTGGGCACATCGCCATCCTCTTGTAATAGCTCAACCTGTAAGTTTTACACTTCTTAACAATTGTGCAGTACCGACTCTTGATAGGATGTTTTACCTTACTGATTAGGTATTTTCTCGTAGCCTCAAATGCCGCACCTTTCACTAAGATTTGATT